GGGGCCGCTTCGGACCCGAGCCGAGGTTCAGAGCCCGGCACGAAAAAAAGGAAAATAAGGAGGTTGGGGGTCGCTTAGGTTTTGTCCGTGGTCTGCTACGCTGTCAGCTCGGTGGTGCAGGAGCCGGTTCTCGGTTATAAACATCTCGGCTCCTGGATCTTAATGAGATCTATACCCCTGCAAAGAGCAGGTTAAACACTGTTGCCCTTTCAGTGGAGAAATTCCTGCATGTAGTAAGTCAGCTAGGAATCCAATGCTTTTATGAGCTTTCAGCATCATATGCTGTAAGACACGTCAAACCTATGTATTTTTATAGGAGATCCGTTACATTCCCCTGCAAAGTGGTACTACTGCTTCAGTGAAAAACGGTATCTGCTAGAAAGTCCACAGGAACACACATGCTTCTCGGCAAGTACACCTCCAGACACACGCTACTTCAGAAGATAAACTGGACACGTTAATGACTGGTAAAAACCACATAAATGCATTTCTATAAATAGATCTTGAGCACTATCCCAAATTAGCAGTCATAACACTTAGTTTGGGATAGTGAATTTCACACCAAATCACTCCACATCAGTCCTGTCATTTTTCTGAAAATTGTTACATATTTGAGAAGGATGCTTTAGCATGTAATAATTGTGCTGAAATTAGGCCTGGTGAGGGATTACAGCAGCTGCAAAACCTCTACGTTGGACTGAGCATGAGATCCCAAGTCTTCTGAAAGATGCTTTAATATGCCAAGACCAACACTAGAGGAGTAAAGCTTAGAACAAACGGGCCACAAAGGCCAAATTCTGCTGGGTAAGTTAGTCTGGTAATGGCAATCTGAACGGTAGAAGTAACAGCCAACACAAGCTAGGACATGGCAGCCAGAGAAACAGAGACAGGAGTCCAAGGGTTGGCACTGACATCTGAAGAGACAGCAGGGACACATACATACTGCATTGGGTTTAGGGATGTGGACTCTACTTTCCAGCCTGATAATCAAGTGAACCAGAAAAGCAACAACTAGATGAATCCGCACCTTGAAATCCGGCGAGGAAACAACTTTAAAGCAATCCAATAAAACCTTACCTTTGACGTCTACTGCAGAGACAAGATACCTTTCTTTACAATGTTTTTGTCACGGGCTCTAAACTACAGTGGTACCATATTGTGAGCAATAGCAAAGTATTCCTGGTTAATAAATGGCAACTGTCCACGAGCTACATAGAGATTAACATTGTACCTCTCACAGTTTAACAAATATAACTAGAAGTAGCTGGGATTTTTCCCTTTTAAATTAGGAAGTGACAATTCTTTGGAATTGTTAGGATAGAACCAACTTTGGTAAAAGTTAGTTGAGAGGCTAGAACTTCAGCCAAAGTAAGTTTTTAGGGCATTAATTAGCACATAGCACCAACACACCACCTCAACAATCAATTAAAATCCCTGCTTTGCTGTTCTACTCCCTCCGTGAAAACCCTCAACAGCAGGCTGCGAGCCTGCAGCACACCACAGACTAGTAAACCCACTTATCAGGCCACCCTCTAGGATCTAGAGAGCTTGTGCTCATATCCTTGAACTGAACTGAAAGCACAAGGACTAGAACCTGCTCTAAGTTCTAGATGCGTGCACTTTTTCTCCTAAAGTTTCACAGTATTTTCATCAGAAAGGAAAGGAGGCAGTTTAACAAAGAACCTATTTCCCACGTAACTAATTTCCACATTTTGCGGTGATGTGTTTGAAACTGGAACCTGAATAACCAGGGGGATGTTTATGTAAAAGGTTTATTGTACAAAAAAGAGGAAACCTTTCCATTTAAGGTTAATCAAAGACACTATTTACTACGAAAGTCACAACAGTGTAAGATAGCCCAGCAGTGACAGCATGCACCCCCTAACTTTTGGAACGGAAAACTTGTCAAAACACTTCCTTAAAATGTGCACGTAAAGAGACACAAAGACGAATTATAAAAAAAGGTACCCATTTATTCAAGGTATGACAAGGATATTTACAGTATTCATTTGCTCAGAACAAGATCCATCCTTATGATTTTTAAAGCAGCAATTATAAATTACATTTAAAAGGGGAAACGTTCCAAGCATGTTTCTGTTAAAGATATTTTTACAACGACAGAAACACTTTAAGGCTAAGTCATTTTGACCTTTGCTGCCACCCACGTTTATCTTGGCAAAACTGCCTCAAAACCAACATTACCTTGAAGGATAAAGACTATGCTAAATTCAACATACAATTTTGTTCCCTCAGACACTTTTCACAACAGTTCACATCTGACAAAAATTGACTTTTGATTTAGAACGATGCATTAAATAAAAGTGCGACGAACTGCCTACATCCCAGCATTTCAGAGGGCTAAAAGATCATATACAGCAACACATTCACCACCTCTGAAAGTTATCATCAGATTTCTTGTTGATGAAGGTACTTCAGCTTGCCAAGCACTTTGCTTTCAGTCAGAGCTCCATAGTCATGTGGTGCAATCCACCTTTCCCATCACATTACTTTTCAAAAGATAAGAACAAAAATCTCCAGGTAGCTGACTTCTAATGTAAATGGTGAACACTGTCTGCTTGAAACAGTACTTGATTCCCACAGTACAGACCAGCGCTCTACCAAAGCAAACAAGACGGGTTTGCTAAACTGCTGTAGTGTTATTCTCTAGGCATTTTCACACACAACAGATCTACGGGAGCAGTTAAAATTGGTTCATCTCCTGAGGTAGAAGCCACAAGCCATATTTAGTCCTGTCTGTAAACTACAACACACATGCCGTCAGGCAAATATAGCCATTTTTTAATCTTCTATAAAAGAGAACCACTGATTTTTCAGATGCTATTAATTGTAAATACAATAGCATTTTTTCATTGAATCATTTTGTGCCTGTTTGAGAAAGAAGAAAATTAAAACATTGGGAATAGTAGATTGTGGCTATTTATACAGTTGCAATGAAAATAAAACATGTCTTGTACAAATAAACTTCGTAGCAACTTCCAAACAGGTTGGTATATGAGGATTCTTCTTAACATAAAAGTTATTTTGGAAAAACACCAATTTTAACTGCATAATAAAGAAAAAGGAAAAAAAAAAAACCCACCACTAAACAGTCATTAGACCTTTAAGACTATATAGCTACTTGAAATACTACCATTGCATTTTGGTTATTTTTTTAGGATTACATTTAAGGGAAAAGGAAGTCAAAAACAACAGAAACGCCCAAAGCCTCCACAAATAAAATTTACTTAATGATCACGTTTTGCTAGGTGAGGATACTAAGTAATTAAACCTACTGAAAGTGCACAATGTTTAACATCCCAATAGAAGCAGAAATGTGACCCTTGCACTTGTAGGGGACATTTATTCCAGGTTCGCTAAGAATCTCTGTAACAGCAAAGTTGTTGCTGTGACTGATAGGAGTTTTAAGTTATTTGAAGATAACCCAAGCAACAAGTTACAAAACATGGAGATTGGCACTTGATCTTTAGTTAGCCCCAGAGACTCACGTACACAGAATTTTAAGTTTTCATTTTATTACTGTAAAAAATAAAAGTCAATTTGTAGTTCCAGAGTAAACAATGAAACCTTAGCTTCAAACTATTTAAAAACAAAGGTTCAAATTTTGATAAGATACATTTCACAGGGTTCATGCCAGCACCTTAACCAAATGCATTTTTTTCTGTGAACTAAGCATATTTCACAAAGTTTTCAAGTTAGTGACAAGGCGCTACATTCTCATCCGGATGCACGTGTAACATGACTCAAGGAGAACAAACTGGAAGGAGCTCAAGTCAGTTTCCAGAGTTCCCTGTTGAGCTCTACATGTTCAGAACCAACATTTAAGACTGAAGTTACTAACGATTGACCTTTTGCATATTCTGAAACAGAAGGCAAATACAATCAACTTACATTTGGCTTTGAAACATTAAGATAACAATGTTTTATTTCAGCCACATATTTACAAAAATGTTTACAACAGAACCGTGTAGGGTTTCCTTTTTTTGTCATAATACACTTAAAGATGAATAGTCATCTTAACCTTCATGCAAAGACGCATCTCTCGTTACACAAGAAGTTTCCTTTTTTTTTTTTTTTTTTGCACTCTGAGGATAGCAAGCAGAGGATTGGATAAGTTTGGGTCACCCTTAAAAATGCAGGCCTGTTTGCTCTACTGCACCTTCAAAATAAGGAGGTAAAGTACAGGCTCCATTAATTCCACAAGGGTTCATTGCCTCTAGCATGTTTTCCAAAAACAACAAAAGTAGTCTTGAACAGTTGTAATATGGGTTATTCCATGACTTTCACCTCTTCAGTTTACTTCCTGAACTCTGGAGTTACTTTCCTAGAAGCATACTTGCTGAGCTTCTTTTCTAATGTATATTGTTGACTATACATTTTAATTTAAACTGTTATGTAAAGAATGTAACAAGCTTTTCCTTTGTACACAACTTAATCTTTGTGCTGAGTATTCTTCAAAAGGATTTTATAAATAATACAATAAGTTTAGAATCAGTCTTCTGCCCTCTTGTCATTATACCATGTTGTTGCTCTCTCCAACTTTATCTACAAGCTGTAGAAAAGGAGACAAAAAGGTTTTAAGCTGCATGACGTTTATGTACAGTGAAGTTACTTTCAAATATTACTTGCTACTTGCACAGTTAGTATGCGACCGAAAATGAGAGTCAAGTAGTACTCACCAAGGTCTCATGATTTAAGTTTGTGAAAATTAAAAATCTTACATTGCAACTGTGTTTCTGCATGACATGTTTTTCTCATATAGACATTAACAGTGCAACATGAAGATGCAACAGAATGAAAAAGGAAATAGAAGAATGCAGATAACACTGCTAGCTTAATGATTAAAACAAAACAATACGGTATCAGCCACACATGCATTAGTAGACCAAGTAAGATATTTCAACTGACCATTACTGTGGATTCTCTTCTGAGCCTACGTAGGCTTTGAATAAAACATTAACAATTATCTTTTTAAAACAAGATTTAACCCCATTATGATCAAATTAAATACGACTAAGTAAGATCAATTGACAAATGAAACATTCAATTGATCATGAATTATGAGCCAGAACTTGGCCTAACCGTAAGATCGGAACAGATGATCTTGAACGCTACTTTTTAAAAAGCGGACTGTATACATCTAAGTTATATCCCCTGTTAATTTTTTAGTAGTGCTATTAAAACTGTTGCTTTCAAAACTAGGGTTAGAAACGCTTGTGTTAAATACATACAGAAATTAGCACAGTAAAAGTAGTTGACTGAAACACCCTAGATTACCATCTTTCTGGCACCTGTTAATTGTCTTCAAATCCCTGGCTATTTGGTTAAGCAAATGGAAAACTGCATTTGAAAAAATACAAATCTTAGTAAATAGCAAGACGTAGTCTGGTGCAGTGGACTTTAATATATTTGATGAATGATTATGCATCATGAGAGTTTCTGGATTCACCATACGAGCTGCAACTTAACACTGAACTGAACTATTTGCTTTTACAGGCCACTTTTCATAAATACATCGAAATACTACACAAAAAAGAACAGTGTCCTCCTCATCATACAGACAGGAGAAGAGGCACAAAACAGTGGCATGATTCACCTCTCTAGTCACCTAGGGCCAACAGCGAAGCAGGAAGCAGAACCCCAGCACCAAGTCACAGGCCAGGGCTCTTTCCACTTCACAACATGTAAACAGGGACAGCTTCCGCAAAGGTGTCCTTTTGTTCCTTTTACATCTACAAGCCTCTCACTGGGAACAAAGGTGAGCTGTATGGTGCAGGAACTATACAGGAATACATCCAAAGTCACTGCTCTGAAGTTATATTTGCTTTATTTCTGATTCATTTCTAGTATTGATACAACAATGGAATAAAACACAGTACAAGCTTCAAATTTTGCATGAAGTACCAAACACTTACCGAGCTTATACCGGGTAAATTCAAGAGATAGCCAAGAACTGGAACTCTTCTAATAAAGCCAACCACCACAGGAAAGAACCCCCTTTAGGTAAGATATCAGAAGACTGTATTAGTTTCTATACTTAAACTATTCTCTTATTGCTATAAAATGAAGAAATAGGAAGTATTTTTTAAACTAAGATTACATAAAATCTTGTACCTTTTGTTAGCAGCACATTAATTTTACCAAATACATCAACATCCATTCAGCAGAAAAAGGAGAAAACCAGGAAAGAAACACCTTATTTTTAAATGGACTTAATTTTCTCCATAGTTGGCAACCCTCAGTCAGCTCTTCAAAAAATAACTGAAGAAAGAATACCCTACTTAGTCAACAGAACTGATGCTCCCAACTAATTTCTCAAAATTACCATACATATTTTGAGATAATTTCTTTTTACATTACAGGAAATACACTCTTGCAATACTCGATGCAAAACCAGCTGAAGTTAATTCTGAGTAATCCGCTTTGAAACCATATATGGTACTCTTTACATTAACTAAAGAAAATTAAGCATGACAGAGTTGCCTATTCACTTATTTGACAAATTTATGTAAAGTCAAGGGTTTGCATCATGAACCAGGGGATGTTGCCTAACACAGCTGCTATGGTGTAGCCCCCCGCACTGTCCACTGTCTCTGCAGCAGGAAGACAGATTTTCTATGGCAGTATCTCAGCTGTTTGCAGTCAACTGCAGCAATTCAGCTGCTGGTGGCATTCCGAGTTCTCTCTTGTTGAGCTACACATTCCCTGCGTAGAATAAGGATTAACATGTAATGAAACCTCAGCCACAGTGAAACAGTAAGTTTCACAAGTCATCATCCTCTTCACTACACTGGTAAGAACTATTTGCTAGATAATATCAATACCAGCAAGTTTTTCCTGGAGATTTTCTTTTTTTAAAAACCAGATCACTTCAGTGGTCCAGTAAATTGTGATGCAGGACACACAAACCACTTGTAACAAATTAAAACAATTGGTGTAGCCAAGAATAAGGAATAGGCAGTATAATATAGTTAGCCATAACTCTGGATGCCTGTAATCTGAATAAGGCTCCAAAAGCAGCTTAGAATACAACAAGAGCTACTGTCCCGTAACAGCCTTCTCCAGTGAATGTAATCTGAGCATGTGAAAGCATGGCAAAAGACTAAACCTCTGATGGGAAACTTAACTTACAGCAGCATGTTAAGGGAAAGACATTCTAGATTTAAATCAGAGTAAAATAATAATTGCATCTCTCTCTTACTTCAGTCAGATGCATCTTTAAAAAACAAAACAAAAAACAAACCACCTTTGCAATCCTGCCTTTTGTTTAAGTGTTCTTGGTCACTGCAATTACTGCTACAGGGCATACGAAAGGTGACTGTGTAAAAGTAGTCTAGATATGCAAGACAACAACCTACGAGTAAAGATTCTAGAGCGATCTGGACACCTAGTGGAACTGGTTTGGTGGTCTAAAAATCAAGAGACTGAAAAAAGTACAATACAGTGGTTTACATTTGTACTATCTTAGTCTGAGTTGAAGTAAAGTTACTAGAATTGCTAAATTGCTCTTGATAAAAATAAAGCTTTTCCATATAAATGTCCTAGTAATGCACATGACTAGAACCATTAGGATACACAGAAATACCCATCCTCACAACATACTGCCCTAACAAATCCAAAGGTGCATAAGTCGATCTGGTATTCCTTGAGCCTAAGAAAATGATGTACTTCAGAAACCAATGATAACCAGGAAAGTTTTCTGTTACACAACCAAACAGTGGGATCCTGAGGAATCACGTAAAACGACACTTGAGGAAAGGCTCCATTTTTAAATTCTTCAGAAAGGAGCAAGTTGCCAAAAACACGATAATGGTTGAAATGAACAAGACTGAAGCAAACAAAAAAGCTTTGTTTGAAGTAGTAACTAGCTAACATTGTAGCAAGGGATTTAGAATCTAAGAACTATCAAGCACTAGAAAATATGGTCCAGAGATGTTTTACATTAAAACAGATCAGGTAAACATTCACACCTGGAACTATCTATCCCTTGTTGATACCCTCCGGGCTAAGGGATAGTCCTAGTGACCTAGGGATAACTACTGACCTTCTATAATTCCATCAACATTATTTTACCCTGCTAGCCCCTGGCTAGCACCAATAGATAATCCATAACCATACCTGCTTAGACATAGTAACTTATAATTCTTTCAAGATCTTTTAAAAGGAGGGACGTTTGGTTGGAAACACGCTCTACTTGCTTTGTACTGGCTGATTAAATCCAAATGCTACATGCAAGAAGTAACAATACATTCAGTAAAATACTGTGATTTTCAGAACACTTGCAGTGATAGAGCTCAGAGTCATATAGGGTAGAACAATAAGAAATGTTAAAAATATTTAAACATTTTATCTAAACTAAATACATGATTACCACACAATTTTACTGAGTGGAAAAAGAGCGCCATGAGAACAGCAGCTTGATTTTGATTAACAGGAACTGTATTATTTAGCCAGCAGCTGAACACTTTGAAAATATTTTAGGGTCCATTATTAGATTAATAAGATTAATGGAACAGTCTTCATCTGAACAGAAGTCCAGGAACAACTAAAAGCCTCTCGTCTTTCTTATTAGCACATTTTTGTACTTTGCTCTATACTGAAGTATGGAACTTCAACCACGGAAATAAAGATAAAAATATAGATATACAGGTTGTAAAGAGTCAAATTCTTTCACCATTACAATTGCATTTATGAAGAAGTTAAATGACATTTCACACTGTGAAAGCTATAACATGTATCAAGATTGCTATTCAAAAAATAAGAATTGTTATCTTTCCTTAACTTAGTCCAGATAATGCTAACCAAAACCAGCAGTTCTGACTCTACTAGGGCACAAGTGTGATGAAACATGACAGGAAACACCTTTTCACTGGGCTACCATAGTAATGAAATGGTAAGATTACAAACCTAGGAAGTTTGTAACCAGGTATTTTGCCCCATTTGTTAATGAACAAACTCCCCACCAAAAAAAAATACTAATTGTCCAAGTTGCCTTTTTATGAGGAAATATTTAAACTTTGCAGTCCTGACAACTGGGGGTCCCAGATATTTTGAAGCTTTACAATTCTTTGGTTAGACATAAACATTACCAAAGTCAGTTTGGTATATGCCTCAAACATTAGCAGATTTGAGTCTTGGAAAAATACTTACCAACTTTCCACCTCTTGCAAATGTAAATCAACAGTGTTATACATAATCTATCAAAAGCAAACATTTAAAGGATGCCGCTTTGTCAGCTGTAATGTAGCAACACTAAACAAATATATTTATTCCTAGATACAGCAATACAGAAAGGTATTTTGAAACAAGCCTTACCTGAATAATAAGAAGAACCCATAAATTTCAAGGATCATTCCTATTAAAGGCCAACCAATGAGGACTATGAGCACACCACCCAGGAAAAAGCCCGTTGCTTTCATTTTGTGTTTTTGAAAGAAGAATCTAAATGTTCTTTCCAAACCGATAACAAAAGACAAGCCAGCCACAAATAAAACCTAGAAAAGACAAAAACCAACCAAAGAAAGAAAACAGCTAATTATAATCCTAAGTTTAAGATGTGAACATATATATATATATTCTACAAAACTAGATTGCATTTCTTGCACAACTCCTTTTAATACCAAAAGAGAGATGGTGAGAAGGAATTTACTAGTGATTTTCTTTTGTGAAGTTGACCTTAAAGCATTGGTAGTTACCGTTCAAAACTCTTCTCTCAGCTGCTTGAAAAGTAGAGTCTACCTTTGTGGTCTCTGACAAACACAATCATGTCAAAAGACCTGGTGACAACAGTTATCTGTCCTGTAACATAAGTACGATCATTATGAATAATTACTGTGTACCACTGACAGCAAAGGTTCCTAAAAACTGAGAACAGATGTGTTACAAAAGCACCTCTGTTCTGTACCATGGACATCTTCAATAGCTTGTACTGATCTACTGAACAGTGCAAAGCCAAAAAGGAAAACAGCTGAAGAGCATTATCAGTTACCTTTGGTTTTGTATTTTTTTTTTTTGCCTTTTTTTATTACACTGTGTATAGTCTCTCTACCATTTACTAGTTCCAGTATAGACTGAACACTATCACATTAGTCCCAACTATTTAGAACTACTTTTAGTGTCCTTTAGCAACAGGACTTGTAATTGTTTCAGCTTGTAAGCATGCATCTGTGCAATGTTTTTGCTGAAAAAGGGATTTTACTCAAGATTATAGATGAAATTTAAGTTTTGTATGTTATTTAATAAACCATTTTCTTACCACCTTTTCTCCCTTTTGATATCACTTTTTTTTTTTAAACTTTCTGTAAGGATACAGTACCTTTTCTTGTATTATCTCTGGTTAGCATATAGCCTCTCATTGTCTCTTCCCACCTATGTTTTCATTATTTTCCCTAAACAGGATCTCATATTTCCACCTTACATTAGGAAAAGAAAAAATAAGCATTATTTTATTTTTTACTCTTCCACTATACACTTTATTGATGGTTCAGAACAATGCTTCAACTAATGCACCCAAATTCAAAGATACGTTTTAAAGTTTTCCTTCAGTATTTGGCTCTGCTGCCACACAATGAAACTGATCAGTTTTGACCATAGACTTTTAGGCATCAGCAAAAGAAGATGCAATCCTCTACCAGACTGTGCTCCTGGCTGGCTGGCAAAGCTGAGAACAGCAAAGGCACAGAGATTATCACATTCAGAAAACACCCTGTCATTTTATATTTGCTTTGGATTGGGAATTTTGTGTACCAGAACTAGGATTTCTTTTCTATCCTGCTTTAAGTGAAAACTTTGATTTGGTAAAAACTGAAGATATTAAATCTCTCCATTATGAAGGGTGATCGGCTCTTCTAAACCCTGACTACCAGCAATTCATACTTCTTTCTTTCCTCAAAGCACAGCAAAGCTGCATTTGCCAGTGTGTACAGAACATTTCACTATTGTTATCCAATTGGATACTTAAATTTGACAGTTATCTTACAAGACCACAAAAAAGAAAGCATTAGTAATGACAGCCAATCTAAAAGCCTTATTTGCAGCAGCATAACAACCGTTGAACAAGCTGCTTCTTTATGACCAACACACCGCAGGCCTGACCCGCAGGTACAATATTTAGATTGATGTGAGCTGCTCTAACTTTCATCAGGAAAAATGATTCACCCATAGCACTGAGCATAAATCTTCCTTTATACCAAACAGCCACAGTATTTTTTTGTGATCCAGTTTCAAATCGATACCATATTATTCCACATTTAGTTTATTTTTCATATATCATATACATAATTCTAAGCAGTGCAGAATCTAAGACTAAACAGCAGGCACTTACATTTCCAATAGCCAAAAGAGCTTTGTCAAAGAAGAGTATCATTCCAAAGAAAAGAAAAAACACTCCAAAGCCTGTTAGTCCCATTCCAATCTCTGAAAAAGAAACAAATTTAGGCACATAACAAAACATGGTAGTAGGAAAAATTCATGCATAAAAATTGTGAAAAACATAGAACGTAAATTATGAAAAACTTAGAACATCCAACTACAGACATTTTAAATTTATAGAAAAACTCAGTCTATATTAGGACCACCTAAAAACTTTCCTGAGTGTACAAATACAGTAAGTCTTGTAGACACCAATTACTTCAATAACAGACAGAGATCTTTGGAAGCTGCTTATCAAAAAAATACATATTTGGAACTATATACTGAAATCGAATGCAACAAAAAAGCACGCATGCATATACACATATAGCAGAAACATCCCTTTTGATTTACCGCTTGTATAGAGAAAAGGATTGCTTTGTGAACAGATAATGAAACTTTGTTTTCCATTTGCAACTTTTATCCCATTATGTTTACCACAGTAACATAAGTAAGCTGGTCCTTTCCATCCTCCTGAGACCTCACATCCCACCTCCCATACCCTTGCATAGCAGTCCCGCTTCCCCCAACTTCCTGGCTGAACACAGCTCAGACTAATGCTGCAGGCTCTTTCCAAGGGACACAGGCACTGACGGCTATTGAACACTAGCTTGGGTCTCCAGCCAGTTCCCAGTTTTCACACAACTAGTAGACACTAAATATCTTTGCATTCTGCTTGTCTGTAAAGGTCACTCAAAAAATATTGGGAAGGCAAGAGTAGGAGGGAAGATTTGTTTGTCTGAGGAACTGGGCTAGAAATGTCAAGCTACAATTAAAGCTACCACTTGACAATAGCTTCTGAGGCATCTTGAGGACCGCACTTGGAAATACATGCTACTTTTAAAATTAAACCTCTAAGGCCTTCCTTTGACTCTCACACAGACTGAATAGGAGAGAAATAACATGAACAGCAGCAATACGGCTGCAAAAGTCCTTGCATTTATCCACGTGCTCACCCTTACATTATTGCTATCCCTGTGACCAGAGAATTTAGAAGCCTACAGGGTACATAAAAACAGCTAGCAGAAACAGCCCTAATGCTATAGACAGGCTGGCAGCCCAGTTTGTGTCTGTGTGTGTATCTATGTATATATATATCTATCTTGAAGATTCCAGTAGTTTTGTGTAGTCAAGCCTGAGACAAACAAACAGAAACCCCCACCCACACTATCATAGCCTTCACTGCTACTGTTAGCCAGATCGGCCTAAATGTATTTTAGTTGCACTTTTGACTGCAATGTAGATCTAATTGAACATTTACGGTTGCTTGAAGTGCTCAGGAGTAAAGGAGTATCATTCTGCGTATTTCAGAACTTCCATTTAGTTATTGCAAAAAAAATTTCAAAACAGCTTAGAGAGATTTGTTACAGCAACATTCAGTTTCCCTAACTTCTGTAAGGGCTCGTCTTTCAGCAAGGTTGGAGACCACATGGTGTTAAATTTGTAGTTCTACAATATTGCTTGCCACTTAAACTTTTGCTATGAGCATTTTAACCACCCAGAATTAAAACTATTAAGTAACCTGCTACAACTGATTTACTGCAGACGTTCTCAATACTCATTTACAATGAAAAATGGAATTGCAAGCTGTATTTTCAGTGAATCTGCTGACTGAAGGCAACATAACAATTGCAGTCTGCCCTTTTCTCTAGTACTCTTTACTTTAGAAAAGCAAAAACAATCGGTATTTTGGAAGGAAAACACTTGGAGGCAGGACTCCAAAAGAATTACCAGCTGCCAATAAGATAAATATGCAGTCCTGGGAAGCAAGTATTCATTCCTCCCACAGACACAGTGCAAAGTAGGGATCTAGCAAAATGGCAGAGGCCAACTCCCAACAGCTGCTGCAGTTACTACTCTGACACTTCTGTATTCACTTGAAACATGTTTGTAATCACCTAATCCTACAACAGATTCAGATTCACTTTAGAAGTCAACCATATTCTCTCATTAGTGGAAGGAAAAGAAAAAAAAAAAAAAAAAAAAAAAGGAACACCATTCTCATAATCCCAAAATTACTGCTGAAAGAAGATGAGTAGTCCAGGAGCATTACTCTCTATTGCCAATATTTCAGTAGAAGGTATTACTGACTTGATTCACATCAGAATTTGAAAATATATTTGACGAGCATTTTTAGAGGAAATTAAAAAAAAAACAAAACACTGACATTTTGTACATAGTCTTTGCAACAATGAACTAGGAATTTTTATAGAGGGTGTGAACTATTTTTAAATGCTTTCTCCTGCACAAGAGCCTTCCCATATTACTCAAATACAGCATTTCAATGCCTAGAAGTGCAGAAACATACACTAGCCACGTGACATTTACTCTAGATTTTTTTTTTTAAATTATTATAATTTACTGAGAGGAGGGAGCAATGTTTTCTTGATGTTTCTGCAGAAATCCCATAAGCTATGCAAGAGTACTGCAGCACTGTACCAAAACAACTTAGTAAATATTAAGACTTAATTTTAAGATACATTGCTTGTGAAAGTTCAGGGAAGACTACACACATCCTCCATCTTTTGTGTACAAAATTACAATGGAATCATGCACTATAGGCTCTCAGCAGACAAAAAATAATGCAGTTTATAGGTTATGAAAAGTTTCAATTTTTAATTATTATTATTATTTTGCTAGCAGTATTTTTTAGTATCGAAAAATTAATTTGTTTGGGAAAAACTAAGTGCATTTTTTCCACAGTTACCGGTGGTTTATAACACCATTCAATTAATCACTTAAAAAATGTTCTAGACTACAGCTGCAAATTTAACATTCCAAACATCAACTAATGCAGTGGTCCTCTCTGGGTATTTATCACACTACTCCACCAGTGACTCCGTGGCTAACTCCACATTTTTCCAAACAGCAGTGAGTTTAAAAATATCTGATGAAATATGTTCAGAATTTCAGAAAAACAGTAAAAACGCCTGAACTCCACAGTATATTCATTACTACTCTTGGCTCTGATAATTAAAACCAACAGAGTCAGCACTGGAGTTAGCTGAACGTCCCAAATGAGGAACTAAAAAGAACAGTGAACAGATCTCCTCTTTCTGAAAAGACTTTTCTTTTTCTCTCCAGTTAATACTCTGGACAGGAAGATAGGGGAACAGGCAAAAGCAAAGCCCACAAGGGTTTAATCAATCAGAAATCTAAAAAGTGAACCCCAAGGGTTAGTACTCACCCCAGTAACAGAGCATGGCACCTGAATTTCTCAAGAAATCATTGACCTCGAATGTTGCTAACCTGCTTTTCTGCCAGTCTTCATCCTTGGCCTTGATGGGCTCTCCAATACCTCCATTTCAGTATCCTGCTATCAAGTTAAACTTAGTTCTTTTAACTTTCTTTTCTGCACCTTTCACACTTACCCTCCTTCGTAACTGACACTACAGTGCTTCTCAAGCAGACCCATTTCCTTTCATGGCAACCATAGCAGAAACGCATCTTACGTGAGATGTCAATTTAAATCAAAGACCTAACATTCTCCTTTACCTTGCAGTTTAAACTCTTATGAACGTCTTTACTTTGATTTCTTTGTATTTTCCCCCTCAGCATCTCTATTTCCAAGTATTTCTATTCAGTGAAAACAAAACTAGGGTCACATACAAGTACTTCTTTTTTCCACTTCAGATTGAGCACCTTGGTCCTCACCTTAAAACCCCCTCAGTGTCACCTGCAAGCGTTCAGTGTGATAACAGCAAGTTAAGAGAAACACAGCAAAGCCACTAACATACAATTAAGCGATTCCAAACCACTCATGTCCACGTGGAGGCATACTAGAAGGCTTTAACTAGTTGTTACTGTTGTTTACCGCTCAGCTTTCATTCATTCTCGCCGCCGTCACACCCCAGCACCCCTGCCAACGCGAAAGAGCTCACAAACGCTAGCAGCGGTGGCAGCGGCGCTGGCGGCCGTGCCCTCCTCAGGGCGAGGGAATCCGCCGTGCCGAGCGCTCCTCTGTAGCCCTGCATCCCACCTCACCCTCCGTTTCACCCGACAGCTCACGGTACCGCCGCTAGACCCGAGGCCGGGGCCAGCACGGCTGTAGCAGCCCTAGCGAGGCGGCGGTGCCGACAGGCGCGGCCAGGTGAGCTCCGCCTGCGCCCTCCCGTTCCCAGCCACGGCTGGTTTCCAGCCGCTGCCCGTCGGGGGCCACCGCGGGGGGGCAAACGGGCGTGCCGACGGGCCCCCCCCGCCCCC